AGATGCCCAACCACTAGGCCACCCAAGCGTCCCCCAACATCATTATTCTTATCACCATAGTTGCCCCTTCTCACCAGAATTTTCTTGCTTCAGCTCTATATGGGGAGTGGAAAGCTGCCTAGATGTGGATCCAGAGTCTGCATCCTTAGGAAAAGCAGAAAAAGTACCAGGGGACTAGGGAGAAACAGAAGGGATAGATAGGAACAGAGAGTTGCTGAGAGGGTTGAAGAAGGAGAGAATACCTCAGGAGTTAACACTTAAGGGTCTAAATCTTTTTCTTTGCCCTCAGGCCTTGCAGAGATCAGGAGGGTCAGTGTTAGGGAAATAGATCTGGGAACAAACCCATCTAGATAGTTTATGCTATCTTAGGAAAGAAATTTAAAGATCCTAAAGTAGGGAAAGACCAAAGATAGATTATATATGGATCATGGAAAATGAAGTTCACAGCTATGGGCATCTGATACAGGACTTGGATAACTGCGAGTCTCTTAGGGTGGAACTGGGGAGAATATTCTTTTTATTCTTTTTTTTTTTTTTTTTTTTTAATTTTTTTTTTTTAATTTTTTTTTTTTAATTTATTTATGATAGGCACACAGTGAGAGAGAGAGGCAGAGACACAGGCAGAGGGAGAAGCAGGCTCCATGCACCGGGAGCCCGACGTGGGATTCGATCCCGGATCTCCAGGATCGTGCCCCGGGCCAAAGGCAGGCGCTAAACCGCTGCGCCACCCAGGGATCCCTTTTTTTTTTTTTTTAAGTAAGCTCTATACCCAGTGTTGGGCTTGAACTCAACAACCCCTGAGATCAAGAGTCATATGTTAAAAACTCTCATGTTTTACCAAGCCAGCTAGGTACCCCTGGGGAAAGTATTCTTGAGGCAAGTGGAGAAGTATGTACTACCCCTTACAGATGCATATACAGCACCCATATGTATTTGCAGTTATAGGAGCTCAGCAGGCATCACAAGCAAAAGGTGTTATTGCGGTACCCCAAGACCGTCAACATGCCCATGGAGTGCCTTGGGCAGAAGTACTATAATTTACACTCTTACCCTTCTCAATCAGGTCAAAGAAATATTTATTGCAGGTACCCCTGCCAGGCCTGAAATACCCAAGAACTGATTGTGCATAAATTGGGTACTTAATCAAAATAGATATGTGAAGAGAGGAAGATTGCTTGTGTACATCGCCCTGGGCTCAAGGTTTAGCAAATTAACCTAGCTATTCCATACAGTATAGGCGGATGCAGCCAGTATGTACCCATAGTATGTAAGCCTGATACTCATTGACACTTGCTGTCCTGATGAACCTCTGGGAGCATGGCCCTGTGTTTCACTGGTGGTTATGAAGGTCTGAGAGGGAACCTACTCTTTTTCAACTCAAACATCATCAACTTTTGTTTTATCTCTACATTTCCCTACTCCTCACCCCGGTTATTTTGAAGCAAATCCCAAGCATCATCAATTTATCTGCATTTCAGTATGTATCCCTATAAAAAGATGAAGATTGACTTTAAAAACATATCCAGATATAACAGTCATACCTTAAAATGACTATTCAGGGCAGCCCGGGTAGCTCGGAGGTTTGGTGCTGCCTTCAGCCTAGGGCCTGGTCCTAGAGCCCCAGGATCGAGTCCCACGTCAAGCTCCTGGCAGGGAGCCTGCTTCTCCCTCTGCCTGTTCTCTGCCTCTCTTTCTCTCTCTTTCTCTCTCTGTGTCTCTCATGAATAAATAAATAAAATCTTCTTTTTAAAAAAAAATGACTAGTCAGTATTTATATTTCCCAGATTGTCTTTCCTTTTTTTTTTTTTTTTTTTTCCAGAGAGAAAGAGAGCATGAGCAAGGGTAGGAGACAAGGGGAGAGAGTCTTAAGCAGGCTCCAGATGAAACCCATGTGGGCCCCATCTCATGACCCTGAGTTCAAGACCTGAGCTGAAACCAGAAGTCTGAGGCTTAACTGACTGTGCCATCCAGGCACCCCAGAGAAGAAAGAGAATCTAAAGGCACCACTGCCAGTGTGGAGTTGACTCAGGCCTCGATCTTACAACCCTTGAGATCATGACCTGAGCTGAAATCAAGAGTTGGACACTCAATTTATTGAGCTATCCAAGTCTCCTCCCTGATTGTCTTAAGCATTATTTTCCCATTTACTACATTAAGACCCAAATGAGGTCAATATATTCTAATTGATTGCTATCTCTTAGTCATCTTCTAAATTGTAAAGTCCCCTTCCATCTCTCTCTCCTTTTTTTTCTTTTTAATGAAGAAACCAGGTTTTTCTGTAGAATTTACCAAAATATGCATTTTGTCAATTGTGCACACCCAGATTTTATTTTATGTTATGTTATTTTATTATTTATTTTAAAGATTTTACTTATTTATTCATGAGAGAAACAGAGAGAGAGAGAGAGGCAGAGACACAGGCAGAGGGAGAAGCAGGCTCCATGCAGGGAGCCCGATGTGGGACTTGATCCTGGGACTCCAGGATCATACCCTGGGCTGAAGGCAGGCGCTAAACTGCTGAGCCACCCAGGGATCCCCCCAGATTTTATTTTAACCTGTTCTCTGTCTTTTATACTTTTTATTGATTGGCATAGGCTTTATCAGATTCAGAAGTTGTTTTTTAAGTCATGCTTCCATCAGGAAATAATGTCTGGTGATGATGCACAGATAGTCATTGATGATTATTACCTAGATCTAGTATTCACTAGGAGTTGTAAAGTAGTAATTGTAAACTATTCATTTATTTTTCATTTATTGTCCAAATACTTCTATAAAAAGAAATATTTCTTTGCCAACCATTTGGCTCCTGTATGAAGGCATTTAGCCATTTTCCCTAGGAGGCTTGATGTCTTTGAGTGAAAAAACCATGTTTTAAAAGCACAATATAGGGACGTCTGAGTGGCTCAGCAGTTGAGCACTTGTCTTTGGCTCAGGGCATGATCCCAGAGTCCTGAGATCAAGTCCCACATTGGGCTACCTGCATGGAGCCTGCTTCTCCCTCTGCCTGTGTCTCTGCCTCTCTCTCTCTCTGTCTCTCTCATGCATAAATAAATAAAATCTTTAAAAAAAAAAAAAGCACAATATGGGACTCCTGGGTGGCTCAGCAGTTGAGCGTCTGCCTTCAATTCAGGACGTGATCCTAGGGTCCTGGGATGGAGTCCCACATCAGGGTCCCCACAGCAAGCCTGCTTCTTTCTCTGCCTATGTCCCTGCCTCCCTCTGTGTCTCTCATGAATAAATAAATAAAGTCTTTAAAAAAATAAATAAAAAGCACAATCTGAGTTCTAATGTTTCCATTTCTTTTTGAATCAGTACATAAGCTTTGATTTTTACTTACAAATCTAGCCTTTAAAATGCCTTTAAGAAAGAGAGTCAACTTCAGTTATAATTGTTTTTATCACTTTTATATACTTTATTAGCACATCTGCTAGCTGTGTTAGGGATAGAGGAAAGACAGTTACTGGGGCAGTCTGGGTGGCTCAGCAGCTTAGCATCTGCCTTCGGCCCAGGGCATGATCCTGGAGACCCAAGATCGAGTCCCGCGTCAGGCTCCTACATGGAGGCTGCTCCTCCTTCTGCCTGTGTCTCTGCCTCTCTCTCTCTCTCTCTCTCTCTCTCTCTCTCAAGAAAAAATAAATAAAATCTTAAAAAAAAAACTTCAGTTACTTCCTTTTAATCTATTAAATAAAAGAGTGAGAAGAAGCTAACATTTATTAGATTTATCAGGCCTGGACTTGGTAACCTAAAAAAAAATTTACCCTTAAAAGACTGGTCAATATTGTGCCCAATTTATAGATGAGACCAGATCTTGGAGTCGTAAAATGACTTATTCTGTACCATACTGGCTATGAATAATGGGCAGTTGTGCGATTTTTGTTTGGTTTTTATATGTAATGTGATATAAGGAGCTGATTTGGCTTTTTCAGTACTGTATAAAGGATATCAAAAAGTCATTGGATTTTGGGCATCTGGCTGATCCAGTGAGAAGAGCATGTGACTTGGTCTTGGGGTTGTGAGTTTGAGCCCCATATTGAGTGTAGAGATTACTTAAAATCTTTAAAAAAAGGGGCACCTAGGTGGGGCTCAGAGATTGAGCATCTGCCTTTGGCTCAGGTTGTGATCCCGGAGTCCTGGGATCAAGTCCCACATCAGGCTCCCCACGAGGAACCTGCTTCTCCCTCTGCCTGTGTCTCTGCCTCTCTCTGGTTCTCTCATGAATAAATAAATAAAATATTTTTTAATTGTAAAAAAAGTCATTGGATTAGAGGTATAAAATGTTTTTTTAAAATAACCAAATTTAAAATTAATTAATCAATTAATTAAATTAAAATAAAATAACCAAATTTTTTGAGCACCCCGGGTGGCTCAGGGGTTTAGCACCACCTTCAGCCCAGGGCCTGATCCTGGAGACCCAGGATTGAGTCCCACGTCAGGCTCCCTGCATGGAGCCTGCTTCTCCCTCTGCCTGTGTCTCTGCCTCTCTCTCTCTCTCTTTCTCTCTCTCTCTCTCTGTGTCTCTCATGAATAAATAAAATCTTTTTAAAATAAAATAAATAACCAAATTTTTACTGCCTTATTTTACATATGTCAGAAAAGTTTGAATTCAAACTGGGATAGAAGTAAGGATCAGCTAGAGAATGGAAATAGAAAAGAATTATCTTAGGAAACTGACATCTTTCTTTCTTTTAATGAAAGGGTTCCTGGTAAGTTTGAACTTTTAGGTATCGATTTTCTGAAAACAACACATAACCATTTTCAAACTACTGTTCAATCACATCTGAGTGGAACATCCACTACACATCTGTGGGAAATAGACTTTGATGTCAGACATTTGTATTCACATTCCAACTAGTAGCTTACCAATGTATCATTTTCATAGAATAATCACATTTTTCTTTGTAGAACTATAAAATAAGCACTTTGAAATTTGAAACCGCTCTTAAACATGGTTTTATCTTCAAACTACCAGTTTTGAGGAACTGATTTTCTTTTTCTTCCAGTTTACTATAAACACACCACCTACTCTGGAAGACCTGATGTTAAGTCAGTATGTTTACCGACCCAAGATACAGATTTATAGAGAAGATTGTGAAGCTCTTTGCCAAAAGATTGAAGAGTACGAAAGTATTTTTGCGTGTGCTTTGTTGGGTGGATGTATAATCTTTGTGGTAAAGTTTTAATTAGAAAAACACTGGCATAGGAAAAAGTTCATGGCATTAGTTGGCAGTGTGATACGGTATATGGAAAAAATCAGTTTTGTAGGCAAAAAGATTGAAGTGCAATCCTGGCAACAGCACTAGCTGTGTAACTATATAAATCATTTAACTTTCATTTCAACATCGATAAATAAGGCATAATAATCCTACTCAGCAGGTAGAAATGAGCAGTAGAGATAGTGTGTGTAAAACATTTTCATGCCGCTCATAGCAAAAATATCTCCCCAGTAAATGGTTATAAGGGTATGATACCATAAATTGATCACAAAAGAACATCTTCAAAAGAAGATGATACCCTCTAGAAATTTAATATAGTGCCTGAAATCAAGATTGCCTTTAGGTTTATAATTTTATCACATTTGCCCTTGATTTGGATGTATGATAGAACATGGTATTATTCAGACTATATTGCTCAGTGCTTTGGTGTATGTAGATGCTGCGTACTAATTTACAGATGAGGTATATCTAAACTTCCTCAGATAATTAGACTTGCAACCCAAAATATATTTATATCATACTTACTTAGAACTATCCCACTAAATTTGTACCAATCTAACAAACAGAAAAGAAATAAAATGATTTTTAAAGAACTATGTAGTTTTAAAACTAAAAACTTAAGATGCTGTTAAATTATAATACTACAGATTCGTCTGATTCTGGTTTTTCATTCAACTGTATATTGACGCCTACTATGTGCCAGGTACTATGTGCCAGTACTAAGTACTATGTACTGGGGCTCATCAATGAACAAGACAGAAAAGTTTCTTTATTTTCATGTTTAAAAGAGTTGAGTGTCTCAAAATTTGTCTTAGAATGTTTTATTTTGAATAATGTAGGATCTTACATGCAATGCAGTCTGTTTAGATGTGCTCTACTGTTTGATTTTACACTTAGACGTTTCTGTATTTAGTATCTTCTAACCCTGATAGAAATTTCTTTTTTTTTAATTTCTTAATAAAAAGAAACTAATATATAATTTGCTACTTTTATAAATGCTTTTGTGTAAAGGTGAGATAAGACTGAATAGGGAACTTTTACTTAAAATAGCAGTTACAAATTCAAAATCACTATGCATGCATTGATAGGCCTTAAGGATTCTTTAATAGCAACATGTTTTCATATTGGAACAAGTTGATTAAGATTGTGAGCGAAGTTTTTTTGATGCATAAAATTCTTAAACTGTACTACAAGTATTGAAATAATCAGGCTGATCACTGTTCTTGAATGAATTCCCCTTTTTTAATATACAAAAGAACTAGGAAGAATTAAATTAAGTATTCCTGTAAATCTCTGTTGGTTCATCCAAGCTGACTTCTGAACCCTGTGCTAATTATTAACTTTTCTATATTTTAGATTAAAGCTTTCTGCATTGAACCAGGATAAATTGTTGACTGACATAAATAGGAACCTGTGGGAAAAAATGAGACACTGCTCTGATGAAGAGGTATTTTTAGTTCATTTTCTGAATGGGAATCAGTATAGACATTTGAACCTGTTTATTGTGAAATAAGTAATTGTTACTTGATAATTAGTGACGAGTTCTTTAACTTCTCAAGTATAGTATGTTACAAAGAATTTTATTTAATTATATGGGAGTGACTTAAAATATATAATCTTTCAAACCTGAAATGATCAATTTAATATATGAAATATATTTGAAGTTTATTTAGAATTTCCTCCTACTTGTTTACTTTTCACTAAGATTTAAATGGGGAAAATATTTACTTTAATCGGTTAAATAATTAGCAACTCATTTTATATGTGCTCTAATATATTTAAAAAGTTTTATTATCTAAGAGCTTGTCGTTTTCTAGTTTACAATATGAATGAATGAATTAAAAGCAAGAATTAAAGTTGAGATCTTTGGTTCTGTTCTTAAACTACTAAATGTAATTAAATTTGCAAATGAGAAGTGCCCGGCTTTAGGAATCAGTCTACCATGGGCAAAACTTAGCACAGAGCAGCTGAACCAGCCTTCCTTGACCATTTGCTTTTCCTAACTCATTTGTTTTAGTATGCTCTAACCTTTGATTTTCCCTTGCAGCTGAAGGTCTTTGGAATTTACCTGAACAAAATAAAATCACATTTTACCAAGATGACTAAAGTTTTTACTCACCAAGGAAAAGTGGCTCTCTATACCAAGCTGGTACAGTCAGCTCAGGTAATTTGAGACAGTGAAAAGCACAAAAAGAAAGATCTATTAAAATTACTTTATAGTGGTTGTAGAATATGAAGAGTGCTTCCTAGGGAACATGGTTCACAAAGATGTGGGGTTCTATTTATTAAAAGTAGGAAATCTCGGGGCAGCCCGGGTGGCTCAGTGGTTTAGCTGATGTTGGGTGTAGAGATTACTTAAAACCAAATCTTTAAAAAAATAGAATTTTCGAGATGCCTGGGTGGCTCAGTGTTTAAGCATCTGCCTTCAGCTCAGGGGTGATCCTAGAGTCTTGGGATCGAGTCCCACATCGGGCTCCCTGCATGAAGCCTGCTTCTCCCTCTGCCTATGTCTCTGCCTCTTTCTCTGTGTCTCTCATGAATAAATAAATAAAATATATTTTTTTAAATTTTTATTTATTTATGATAGAGAGAGAGAGAGAGAGAGAGAGAGAGAGGCAGAGACACAGGCAGGGAGAAGAGAAGCAGGCTCCATGCACCGGGAGCCCGACGTGGGATTCGATCCCGGGTCTCCAGGATCGCGCCTTGGGCCAAAGGCAGGCGCCAAACCGCTGCGCCACCCAGGGATCCCTAAATAAATAAAATCTTAAGGAAAAAAATAGAATTTTGTTTTCAGTAATATGTTTAACATCTTATATTACATGGAAATATTGGAATAAAAGAAAGTACAAAATATAAGTTTATGTTATGTATGCTTTTTAAAAACATTTTAAGCCCAGAGTTGAAGCTTTGACCTTCTTTTTAAGGTTTGTGAATTCATGATATAGCAATATGTCAGCAAGTTTAACCGTTTATAAATGTTAAAATATTTGTTTAGAAGTTTGTTTTAGAGGTTTAACTTGACAATATAATATTGTGTGTTTAGAATGAGAGGAAGAAACTTCAGATAAGGATAGATGAGATGGACAACATACTTAAGAAGATTGAGAACTGTCTCGCTGAAGTTGAAATAGGTAAAGTATTTTGAATACTTTTCCAAAAAGATAATTTAAATTTATCTAAATACTTCCCTACAGTACAGATTGCTAGTATCACTTATGTTGAAGCCTGGTATTAGCAACTTGAGACATTAAATTAGAGCAAAATAAAACTCTTTTCCTGTGGTCATCCATAGCATAATCAACAAGAGATGCCCAAGATAATAAATAAATCTCTTTAGAAAGCTCTTCATAGGGGCGGCCCGGGTGGCTCAGTGGTTTAGCCCTGCCTTCAGCCCAGGGTGTGATCTTGGAGTCCCAGGATCAAGCCCCACAGTCAGGCTCCCTGCATGGAGCCTGCTTCTCCCTCTGCCTATGTCTCTGCCTCTCTCTTTCTCATGAATAAATAAATAAAAATTTAAAAAAAAAAAGCTCTTCATATCTTTAAAAAGGGGGGGTAGGGATCCCTGGGTGGCGCAGCGGTTTGGCGCCTGCCTTTGGCCCAGGGCGCGATCCTGGAGACCCGGGATCGAGTCCCACGTCGGGCTCCCGGTGCACAGAGCCTGCTTCTCCCTCTGCCTGTGTCTCTGCCTCTCTCTCTCTCTCTCTCTGTGTGTGACTATCATAAATAAATTAAAAAAATTAAAAAAATTAAATAAAATAAAAAGGGGGGGGGTGCAGAATCCCTGGGTGGCTCAGCGGTTTGGCGCCTGCCTTTGGCCCAGAGCCTGATCCTGGAGACCCCAGATTGAGTCCCGTATCAGGCTCCCAGCATGGAGCCTGCTTCTCCCTGTGTCTCTGCCTCTCTCTCTCTCTGTGTGTCTTTCATGAATAAATAAATAAAATCTTTAAAAAAAAAGAAAGCTCTTCATAACATAGATCATAATCTTATTTTTTTAAATAGATGAATTTATTTCTTTGAAAATTATCTCTCCTTTCCCTTTGACCTCTCATAGTCCTGAATTGTTAGTATTTTTGTCCTGAAACTGCTTTCTTGAACACAAAATTGCACATAATTATCAAATTTGGAATCTTTTAGTCCTTAGCCATCTTGACCTCTTTCAACATTTGACGCAGATGATTATTTTCTTTCTGAACCTTTCATCTATTTCAACCTCTGTGAGGGACGCCTGGGTGGCTCAGCGGTTGAATGTCTGTTTTCGGCTTAGGGCATGATCCTGGAGGCCTGGGATCAAGTCCCACATGGGGCTCCCTACATGGAGCCTGCTTCTCTCTCTGTCTATGTCTCTGCCTTTCTCTCTCTGTGTTTCTCGTGAATAAATAAATAAAATCTTTTTAAGAATAAATAAAATAAACCTCTGTGATATTGTACTACTATGACCGTATGCTTTTTTCTGGCTATTCCTTTTAGCCTTTCTATTGGTTTCTCTCTAGCCTCCTGTGTAGGCATTAAGATTTTATCATCCACTCATTTCTGTATTCTCTCCCTTAATGCTTTCATCTGCCCTTAACATTTGTTTTTGTATGAATGATTCCCAAATTCATTTAAATTCATCATTTGTTGAACACCTACTACATGCCTGATGCTGTGCTTACCAGCAGAGAAAAAGGTATTATAAACACAGATTTTGACCTTGAGTAGCTTATAATTATTCTGAGTGAGGACATCTTTAGCCTCCTCTCTCTAAGTTCCAGACTTAACATTTCTAGCTTCCTGCTGAACCACTATGCAAAATAAATGTCTTTAAGCACCTTAAACTCTCTGTGAATAAAGTGGAATTTATTGTTTTCTCCCATTTCCAAAATAAAATCTGAAAACTTGCTCTCCCTATGATGTTTCTTACCTCTATGAAAGGCATCACTATTATTATATACTGTAAAAAGCTAAAAACTGTGAGTCTCTCTTACCAAGTCCTGTCATATCTACTACTTCAGCATCTCTTGTATTCTTTCCCATTCCCATTAAGGCTATCAATTCTGACATGCTATTTCAAGTCTTTAATCTTTATACATTCCTAACTTTATTCTGTCTCCTTCCAGTCCAACCTGCACATTGCTGCCAGACTAAGTAATTATGAAAAACAATTTTCATTGTTACTTCCTTGAAAAACCTGTCTTTCTATTTAGAACAAAAGAAAGTCCAAACATCTGAGCCTGACATTTAACATTCTCTACAATCAGTTTTTCCTACGGTCCTTTTTAGATCTTCCTTTCTTACATGATTTAAGTACTTACTGGACTGGTAAGATTAACAAAGAAAAGACAGTAGGTTATATTAAGGGAGGCTTATGTTGATGAAAAAAAAAGTAGACTCAAATTAGGTTTTTGAGGTAAAAATCTAAGCTTGTTTGGATGTGGAAGGGGAAAGAGGTTTTTTTAAGGATGAGGTTTTAAGGTCTCAAAAACAAAATTTTAAAATGTGCATGTATGCATTTGTGTATGGGTATGTGTTCCTGCTTCTTACCCATGGATTGCCTAACAATAACATTGATGTATGCAAATTACATATAAACAATTCACACCTCAGAGTTATCCCTGAGAAGTTGCTATTGGAGATCAAATATTGCCATATCACTTTGCCACTAGAAGCAAGCCTTTGTATGACACTATAATTATACTTTAGTGCTTTATTGGTGAGGAAAGGTGGGGAATGATAAGTGTTTGTGAAATATTGTTAATACTTCATTTGGGTCCATCTTTTTTTCTCATCTCTGGTTATTTTTGACTGAGTTATTCTAATTCATATTGCCTACTTAGAAACTAAGAATTTGGATGAAGAGAAAGACAATCCTATGGAAGAATGGGATTCTGAAATGAGAGCCGCAGAGAAAGGTAACTGAATTAATTAAGGAGATAAATGGGAAATCAACAACCTATTCTTTATTTAGGTGAGATTAAGTGATACAGAATAGAACAGATGATTTTTGTAGCAACATTTTAATGTGTCCATTCTGATATAATTGTTTTTTTTTTATAAATTAATTTTTATTGGTGTTCAATTTACCAACATACAGAATAACACCCAGTGCTCATCCCGTCAAGTGTCCCCCTCCGTGCCCGTCACCCATTCACCCCCACCCCCCGCCCTCCTCCCCTTCCACCACCCCTAGTTCATTTCCCAGAGTTAGAAGTCTTTATGTTCTGTGTCCCTTTCTGATGATATAATTGTTTTTTTGTTTTTGTTTTCCCAAAGAACTAGAACAGCTGAAAACTGAAGAAGATGAGCTCCAAAGGTCAGCCTTCAGAAAATAAGCTAAACTTTACAAGGCTTCCTGCCTCCAAAAACTGAGGCGATTCGGCACATGAGTATTGACTTAAGACTGACTCAGGATTTCTGCTCCATCTTGAACTTGACCCATCGTAGTTGACAAAATTTTCTAAGCACTTACTATTTACAAAGCATTAATCCAAGATAGTATTTCTCAAGCTTGAATAGTAGAATCCTTTTGAAGAAAATAAACCTAGCATTAAGCTGTTTCTATATTGTACTTTTATATTCTACTAACTATAAAATGAAGTATAGTTTTCTTACTGTCATGGATCTTATTAAACTATAAGACTAAAAGGAATTGGGCATCTGCATGGCTTAGCGGTTGAGCATCTGCCTTTGGTTCAGGCAGTGATCCCAGGGTCCTGGGATTGAGTCCTTCTTTGGGCTCCCCTTAGCGAGCCTGCTTCTCCCTCTGCATATGTTTTTGCCTCTCTCTCTCAGTCTCTCATGAATGAATAAATAAAATCTTTAAAAAAAAAAAAGACTAAAAGGAATCAAATACAAATAATGACAAACCCATAAAATTCCAACTGACATTAATTTGACAGGTGATAATGTTTAGCTAAAGTTAAATTGACTAAAAAGGTATAAGTTCTGTTTAGCTCTAATAAACTAAACAAAACCAAACATTGGCAGCAAAATTATGGCATGTCTCAGTTTTAAGGTGGGCATTCTTATGATCTACATTATGTTTATATTTTATCACCAAAATAAAAGGTAAATTTTAATAATCTTAAAGAATATACAAATCCTCAAGGACACCTTCATGGATCCTAATTTTGAGACCATTGATTTAAGCCTTTCCTAACTAGACCCACATTTCTGATTAATGCTTATCCGAGAGAGAGAGAGAGAGAGAGAGAGAAAGAGAGAGAGAGAGAGAAAAGAAAGAAAGAAAGAAAGACCCTAAGAAAATAAAAATGGATGCCATTCACTTCAGTGGGGAACTATCTAGCATGTGACTTCTTGTTATAAACATTTTATTTTAATGGAGTCCAAATTCTCTGACAACAGCATTATCTCTATATGACTACCTACTTTGATTTGCAGAAATCTCTTAGAACTGGAAGTACAGAAAGAGCAGACCCTTGCTCAAATAGACTTTGTACAAAAACAAACAGATAGAACTGAAGAGCTAATGGATCAGTTGAGGTAAGGAAAAGCAGGTATCATTAGTTTGTTTTATCCCATTACCACAGTTGACATGTGTTTGTAATTTGTTATCGCTGTTTTAACCTATAGTATAATAAATTCTCAAAGAGTCAATGTACCATCAAGCAGAAGGTATACAAGGTGGGAAAGCTACGAAATTATAATTTTAAAAATACTTAACACTTTATATTGCCTAAACTTGGATTTTCTTTGATAGACAATTCAAAATTGAGTCAATTCTTTGAAAAATATGTTTGTACATTCACAGTATTTGAATCAAAATATTGATTGTCCCCCAAGCCAGTAGAGAAACTTCAGCCGCTGTTTCCGGTATGTTTGCCTGCTATCAGAAGTTAACTCTCCTCTTTTACCTCAGAAAAAAAATTTTTGTCTTGTTTATTTCTCCCCAGCTTGTCTGAGTGGGAAGCCATTGAGTGGAGTGATGATCAAGCTGTATTCACCTTTCTTTATGACACAATAGAACTTACTATCACCTTTGGAGAGACAGTAGGTGAGTAGCAAAAAAAGAGAATTCCTTTGCAGAAAAATGTATGACTAAACTCACTAAAGAATGCAATCTTTATTATAATACAATAACTATTGACATAACAAAAGCACTGCTGAAAATCTTAGAAGAGGCATTCACTTTAATTTGTGATAATATAATTTTATTAGATAAAGAATAAAAAATTCAACTAATGAAAGTTGACCTTTGTTGAATTACATTAAGATGATAGAAATTTTATATGTCCTGGGATGCCTGGGTGGCTTAGCAGTTGAGCGCCTGCCTTTGACTCAGGGCGTGATCCCGGAGTCCCAGGATCAAGTCCCACATTGGGCTTCCTGCATGAAGCCTGCTTCTTCCTCTACCTATGTCTCTGCCTCTCTATGTGTGTGTCTCTCATGAATAAATGAATAAAATCTTTAAAAAAAGAAAAAAGAAAAATTTTATATATCCAAATAATGGATCAACATGCTATTTGCCTCTATTTATTCTGAGTTCCTTTATTCCATCTGTGTTTTGTGGTAGAGGATTTACTCTAATGATTGGTGACATTTAACTTTCTTTTGGTACCTAAGTTAACCTAAAAAGTTAGTTGGAAGTTCTGTATGTATTGATAGGCTTATCAAAGTAGGTAGAATCATTGTATGATGACAGAGTCCTAGCTGTTTTGTTGAGAATCTCCTGGTAGTATCTTCAGGTCTTTTCTCTGAAAAAATTTCAGCATGGCCAAGCAAACTTCACAGTCTCCCAACCTCCACACATGATCCTCCTTAAAAGTTCCTTTTCTTTTTAAATCTTTTTTTTTTTTTTAAGATTTTGTTTATTCATAGAGACACAGGAAGAGAGAGAGAGAGAGAGAGAGGCAGAGACACAGAGGGAGAGGCTCCATGCAGGAAGCCTGACCTGGGACTTGATCCTGGATCTCCAGGATCACACCCCAGGCTGCAGGCGGCACTAAACCACTGGGGCGCTTGGGTGGCTCAGTTGGTTGAGTATTCAACTCGTGGTTTTGGCTCAGGTCATGATCTTGGGGTCATGAGATTGAGCCCTGCATCAGTCTCTGTGCTCAGCATGGAGTCTGCTTGTACCTCTCCCTCTGCTACTCCTCCTGTTTCAGATCTCTCTCTCAAATAAATAAATGGAAAAAATCTTAAAAAAAAAGAAAAAATAAGGGGATCTCTGGGTGGCTCAGCGGTTTAGCGCCTGCCTTTGGCCCAGGGTGCAATCCTGGAGTCCCGGGATCGAGTCTCCGTCGGGCTCCCTGCATGGAGCCTGCTTTCTCCCTCTGCCTGTGTCTGTGCCTCTCTCTCTCTATGTCTCTCATGAATAACTAAATAAAACCTTAAAAAGAAAAAAAATAAAAAATAAAACTTAGAAATCACTCTCTACCTCTTTATCCCTTACCAGGCGTATCTAATTATCAATAAGACTTCTTGATTTTAATTTCATGATACTGATCCACATTTCATGGTTTCCTATCAATAGTCATCTCTAATCAAATGACTACAATAACATCCCAGCAGGCCTTTCTGGATCCTTTCCTTTTCCTCTCCACTTCATCTTCCTTCCTGCAGCAATGGTGATTGTTGAAAATCTGATCACGCACCTAATATTCTTAGACTAATTATCAAAACATTTGCTATGGCCTATAACATCCTGCATGAATTGAATGTTTCTTCCTTTTCCTGCCTCATTTTAAACTATTCTCTGCACTTTGGAATGTGGATTTCTTTCATTCCCTTTTTCTTTCTTTTTTTTCTTTTTCTTTTTTTTTCTTTTTCTTTTTTTTTTTTTTTTTTTTGTTAAGTAGGCTCTACACCTAATATGGGGCCTGAACTCATGACCCTGAGATCAAGAGTCACATGTCTCCCAACTGAGCCTGCCAGATCCCCCTCTTTCATTTCCTTAAAAGATCCTGGTCAGGAGGTGCCTGGGTGGCTCAGGTGGTTAAACGTCTGCCTTCAGCTCAGTTCATGATCCCAAAGTCCTGGGATCAAACCCTGCATTGGGTTCCTGCTCCTTGGAGGGGGAGGGTCTGCTTCTCCCTCTCCCTTTGCCTGCCATGTCCCCTGCTTGTGCTTGCTATCTCTCTCTCTCTCTCTCTCTCTCTCTCTCAATAAATAAAATCTTAAAAAAATAAGTTCCTGGTCTTTTCATGCTCAATCATGTTCCATCCTACCTTGGGACCTTCATAATGATTTTTTTTATGCCTAGAACCTTTTTCCCTCATCTTTGTCCATTGGACTGCTATAACAAAAATACCATAAACTGGGGCACCTGAGTGGTTCAGCCAGTTAAGCATCTGGCTTCAGCATAGGTCATGATCTCAGGGTCCTAGGATCGAGCCCTGCATTGGGCTCCCTGCTCAGCAGAGAGTCTGCTTCTCCCTCTTCCTCATCCCCATCCTCTCTGTTTATGCTCTGTCTCTTGCTTTCTCTCTCAAGTAAATAAATAAAATCTTAAAAAAAGAAAAGCCCCAGGGATCCCTGGATGGCTTAGTGGTTTAACTCCAGCCTTCAGCCCAGGGGTATGGTCCTGGAGTCTTGGGATCCAGTCCCGCATCAGGCTCCCTGCATGGAGCCCGCTTCTCCCTCTGCCTGCGTCTCTGCCTCTCTCCCTCTGTGTGTCTCTCATGAATAAATAAATCTTTAAAAAAGAAAAGCCATAAGAATGCTTATTAAACAACTGAAATTTATTTCTTACATTTCCGGAAGCTGGAAGTGCCAAGATCAGGCTGCCAGCATGGTCAGGTGAGAACCTTCTTCCAGGTTGCAGACTTTTCATTGTATACTTACATACTGAAAGGCCAAGCTAGCTGTTTAGGGTCTCTATTATGAGAGCATTAATCTCATTCTTGAGGGCTTTACCCTCATGACCTTAATAAATACCTCCCAAGGGTCCATCTTCTAATACTATCACATTGAGCATGAGGATTTCAATATATAAATTTGATGAGGGACGCATTCAGACCATAGCATCCCTCTTCACTAAAATAGATTTCTGTTAATAATCCTTAAGAGCGGGATCCCTGGCTGGTGCAGCGGTTTGGCGCCTGCCTTTGGCCCAGGGCGCTATCCTGGTGACCCGGGATCGAATCCCACATCGGGCTCCCAGTGCATGGAGCCTGCTTCTCCCTCTGCCTGTGTCTCTGCCTCTCTCTCTCTCTCTGTGACTATCATAAATAAAAAATAAAGAAAAAAAATAATAATCCTTAAGAGCTCAGCTCAGTTATCACTTTTGCACAAAAGTTTTCCCTGACTCTCCTTTTACCAACTCCCTCTACTAATGCCCTCCTATTATATATGTTCTTATTGCTTCCTGCAGTTTTCCTTAATAGCACTTATCACTGATTGTAGTTTTTAGTATGTTTATTAGTGTAATTAATCTGTGTATCTTCTTGAGCTGTAAGCTTTTTGAGAATATAAATTGATCATGTCTGTCTCACAATCAAATCCTAGTGCCTAACAGTAGAAGCATAGAAAATATTCAACAAAATAATAGGAATCTGAATTTAAGAGATAGAAGGTAACTCTAGAGTTTGGAAGAGGAAGCAGCTCTCCTGGCTTCCTTAAGCTCATTACTGTAATGCTAAAAGCATAAATCATTTTCACTGTATTTATAAAAAGATAGGGAGCACCTGGGTGCCTTAGTGGTTGAGCGTTTGCCTTTGGCTCAAGTCATGATCCCAGGGTCTTGGGATCAAGTCCCCCATTGGGCTTCCCTGCAGGGAGCCTGCTTCTCCCTCTGCCTGTATCTCTGCCTCTCTCAGTGTCTGTCATGAATAATATATATATATATATATATATATATGTATATATATATATATATATATATTTCACATGTAGGTGTGAAGAGATCATAGTCATTTTTTTTATATGGTACCTGAGAATAGTTATCTTTGCACAAAAGTTAGGAGTCAATAGAGGAGGCCTTGATATATTTATAATAAATGTACTATACCTTAAATTGCCTTCAAAGACTTGCCAGTAAGTGTAGTTCAATAGTCTCAGCAAGGAGCCTTTAACATACATAAAGAAAAATACCATTCAAGGATACATCTTTAACTGCCAAATAAAATACCCTGCTACCTAGAAAGAATAGGATTCTAAAGTACAGGGTTGTATGTGTCTTAAAATCAGATAATAAAAAGAACTGGGGCACCTGGGTGGCTCAATTGGTTAAGCACCCAGCATGATTTCAGCTCAGATCATGAGATCAAGCCTTATGTTGGGCTTTGTGTTCAGTGTGGCATTTGCTTGTCCCTCTCCCTCTACTCCTCCCCCCATCGCTTGCACTCTGTCTCTCAAATAAATAAAATCATTAAAAAAAAAAAAAACAAGTACTACTTTTATTCTGGTTCTTCCTAGTTGATCTCCTTTTCCTGGACAAGGCTTGTAGGAAGATTGTTGACTTGAATTTTCAATCTCGGTTAGATGGTAAGTCCAAACATTTATCCACTAAAAATTTGTTGAATATTTATAAATTTAATTTTGCTCCTTGAGAACTTTTTCTCATAGGAAATTAAGTATAAACAATAATAATAATTTGTCCTTAAATATGTGTATTAGACATAAAATTGCTTGGATAATGTTCTGAATATTCGGTAGGATTATTGCTAGATTTTAAGCAAAGATTAATAATAGCTATTTCTACAATTGAAAAACTACTATTCTGAGTACTTATACTATATCAGGCTTTTGTATTAATTATATCAACAGTTTGACGTGTTTTTACAAATTAAGGATAACTCAAAAGTAAATGTGTTCAGGATCACTTAGGTTGTAAGGAAAAGCAGGATTTAAACTCAGGTTTAGGTTATATTTAAGCCCATGCTTTTAACCAAGTTCTATTCTGTATATGATAAAGGCTTGGATTTTTATAAGAATATCTATATTCACTATATATATATATGTTGATTTATGTGCTTAAAAATGGAGAATATACTTAGACATCTAAGACATCTAATAGTTGGAAAGTATTCCTAGTTTATATAATATTTCTAGCTTATGTATAAAAACTATTTGAAAGTAAGTAATGCCCTGTTTTGATTTTTTTTTTTTCCTTCCTCAGAGGATAAAGCTCCTCCTTCCTCCCTTTTAGTTCATAAGCTTATTTTCCAGTACATTGAGGAAAAGGAATCCTGGAAGAAAAAATGTACAACACAGCATCAAATACCCAAGGTAAATCTGATTGAAGCATTTTGAAGGAAAGTTATGTTACCTGTCCCAGAAAGCAGAACTGAAAGTGTATATATTTAATACTAGATCCTGAAACTATAAATATATTAAATTATTTAACTTTAGGTAATTCTTTATGAAAGAGCCACTGAAAACTGAAATGTTTTCATAATTTCTTTTTTTCCCCCCAATTTTTCCTAGATGCTTCAAGAAATCTCATTGGTAGTGAGCCATTGTAGACTCCTTGGAGAGGAAATTGAGTTTTTAAAGAGATGGGGACCAAATTATAACCTAATGAACATAGATGTGACTAATACTGAGTAAGTATATTAGTTCCCCAAGGCTGCCATAACAAAGTACTACAGACTCAGGGGCTTAAACAATAGCAATTTACTGTTTCACAGTTCTAGAGGCTAAAAGTCTGAGATTAAGATGTTTGCAGGGTTGGTTCTTTCTGATGGGCTGTGAAAGAGAATCTTATTCCATACCTATGTCATAATGCCTAGTGATTTACTGGCAGTCATTGGCATACCTTGGTTTATAAATATATAATCCCAGTATCTACTTTCATCTTCACATGATTTTTTTCCTGTGTGCATGTTTGTATACAAATGTCCCCTTTTTGTAAGGACACTAATCATTTTGGATTAGGGTACCATCCCACTCCAGTAGGACCTCATCTTAACTAATTAAGTCTGCAATGACCTTACTTCCAAAATAAGGTCACATTCTGACTTACTGGAGGCTAGGGCTTGAATATTTGGATGACAGGGAGGGACATAGTTCAATTCATAAAAGTAGGTAATTACTCAAAAATTATTAAAATGATTTATTTTAATGAGTTTTATGACAGTGAAAATGAACAACCATAATACTACTTTGTTCGAAATGTTTTACCCTCTTTCCATTTGATAAGGACAAGAAATAATGTGCCACCTAAGTTTCATATGAGTACAAAAGGAAAATATATTTGTTTCATTCTGTTTTTGTTTTGTATGTTTAATTAAGGATTTGTCTTTTATAGATTGAGGCTTTTATTCTCCAGCTCTGCAGCATTTGCAAAATTTGAGATAACTTTGCCTCTCTCAGTCCATTTTCCAACTGTTCCATTACGTTTCTCCATTCAAAAGCACCTTGGAAACATTGGGTAAGTAAAGGGCCAGCAAGATAGGGCTCCTAACTACCTTTTTACCTTTGTTATATCATTTGAAAGATCTCTCAAAGTGATCAGAAATAATGGATATACCATTATTGGATATACCAGTAATGGATAATCCATAGTGAGTGCCGAATGATGCTTCCCTCTGACTTCATTTTGAAAAATTTATTCTTTTAAAGTCAGTGGCCTTTATTTCTAGCTCCAGTGGATGCTGGAGACCATTGGTCTCTTCTTTTATACTTGCTCTACTTTTTCAATACTCTTACCTAAAACAAGGAACGAGGAAGGAAAAAAAATGGATATAAACTTAGCCCAGATCATATATAAACAACTTCTAATGCCTTAAAAACAGGATAATCACTTAAATACTTAAAAAGCTGTGCAGTCATAATGCTTTTCTCAGTTAGTCTTTCTAACCAGATATAACAATATTTCATTCCTACTATATATTTTGTGAATTTTTAGACACACTGCTAACAGTTTGTAAGATTGCAGAATTTAGAATGTACCCACCTCAAATCCATGAGCAAACACCAACAGTTTAGATTTTTAGCTAAGTCAGGATACTTCACTGACTTATACTTCACTGTTTATACAGATTTGCTCATAGGTCTTGTTTTTGGAATCTCATTTCCAACTTGGACAGACTTTCTAGAATTGCCTATTTGTGCTTCCTAAGAGGCTGAGAGCCCATACCCAAAAACATGAATTCCACTGAAATGGAGATAAGTAAATTCCCAGAAAAATTAATAAACCTTTTGTTCTTTCCAGCCAAGATGAAATCACTGCAATTCTATCTAAAGTGCCACTGAAGAACAACTACCTAAAGAATGTAGTCAAGCAAATTTACCAAGATCTGCTTCAGGACTGCCATTTCTATCACTAGACCCAATGGACTACAGTTACAACAGCCAAAAACAGTGTACTTCATAACGATATTATGTCAGAGTATCCATTGCTGTTTAATCTTTGTCTTTAGGTCATAGAAAGAAGCTTAGTAAAATTCCTTCTGATGATGTTACAGTTAATGTGTATGGTTAGTTTTTAAATGTCTCTAGTCAGGAATGATGGATGGCCTCAAATAGCATATTATCAACCTGCTCATCTTTTTACAAAAGGTTTAAATAGTAGAACACTTAGGGAAAATTTCTTCTAATTAAAGTTGTGCTCTCTGCTATAGTAAAGCCCTAAGAAGTAACTTAAGAGGTATAAGAAGAGCTGTCACCACTGACAAAAACATTAGCCATTTCCTCATATATAGAGCTATGATTTTTAAGTTGCCTGGCGTCTGCCTATCAGGAATTTCTGAATATATAGAGATATATCTGTTTACAAACTACTCATCCTTCTTTTTCTCCATTCCAAAACTGTTATTAAGAAAAAGCAATAGCTCTCAGCTATTCAAACGGCTGCCATCTTTTCTTGAGGGCCTTGCCTTTTATTATATAATGTCTACTAATGTTTTCTTAGTACATATAATTTTGTAGGGAAAGTTAATTCATTTTGGCCCAGTACACATATGTAAATATATTAACTTTTTTGTGTGTTTGTGATGTAGTAAGGAGATAATAGATAGAGCTGTATAGAGAGATACTCTTCTGCCTGGGCAATTTCCATCTTTCTGAAGGATGCTTTAGCAAGATTCTCGGTCTATTTCTATCAGATAATTGTACTTCAAGCAATATCACATTCAGAACCACCAATTTTGTCAAGTTCTGGCAATAGTAATGAATTTAATGTGAGTTAAAAAAACTTTTACCCAAACTTTAGTTAAATCCTAATCATGATAATTTTTGTTTCTTTTATATTTAATTCTAAACTAAAATATATTTTCATTTTTAAACTAACTCCTTAACAATTTTGCTTTATACGTTAGGATCAGGTTAAAGTCCTATGGGTCCAATGAATATTCTTCACTTTTTTTTTTTTTAAGATTTTATTTATTTGTTCATAAGAGACATCGAGAGAGAGAGAGAGAGAAAGGCAGAGGCACAGGCAGAGGGAGAAGCAGGCTTCATGCAGGGAGCCCGACCTGGGACTCGATCCCAGGTCTCCAGGATCACGCCCTGGGCTGAAGGCAATGCTAAACTGCTGAACCACCCGGGCTGCCCCCTCATCTTCGCTCTTAAATTGCCTTTTACTTCTGAGCTATTGGTAAAAAAGATCACATGGTCTGTTTTAAGCTTCAAAAGTCAACATAAAATTTATTTTCCATAGAAATCAAAATGTAGATGTTTTTTATTTCCATGAACTCCTTGAAAAACAAAGTCACCACAATATGGTCTGTTTCCCAAGAAACTTAAATTAGTTCTCCTACTAGAATTGTTTTCTTTCTTTTCTGCAAACCTGAGAAGTAGTTTTGTTTTATCCGTTTTGGTAACCTGGAATGACCAACTCCAAGAATGATTTGGCTTGTAATTATGGTCTCTGCTTCCTGGGTTTCTACAGAATTGTAATATTTACATTTACCTAATTATTTGCATTTGTTCAAAGGATTGGCTATTTTTATAAAATTTTTTGGAAATTGTTTTTTTCACTATTAAAATAACTTTATTATATGAAATCTTTTTAAGTAGTGTTTCTTTGTGAAGAGGTTTTTCAGGTTTTTTTTACCATGTATTCAGTAGACCTTTGAAGGAAGCCCCTTCTAGCAACACCCACTTATTTGAAAACTGAGATAAGATTAAAATATGTCAGGACCTGAGAATAAGAACCAGACACAAACCATAGTTTCCCTATGTCTGTCTCTCTGAAAGATAGTAAAAGAAAACTACTTGAAGTTCCTCCAGAAACTATCATTTCTCTGAGCTAGTAGTCCCTAAACTACTAGTGTCAACTTTACCCTAAACCTGCTGAATCAGAAAGACTAAGAGTGAGGACCAGTGTTCCATGTTGTGTTTATTTTTTTTAACTTTCTTTTTCTTAAAACTTTACTGAAATTTAATTGACATCATGTAATTCACCTTTTAAAGTGCACAGTTAAGTGATTTTTAGTTCATTCACAGATATGTGTAACCACAATTCTAGAACATTTTCATCACCTCAAAAAATAATCCACTTTTCAACAAATGGTGGTGGGAAATATAGATATCCACATACAAAAGAATGAAGTTGGACCCTTATCTTCACTACATCCAAGAGTTAACTCAAAACGGATCAAAGAAACTAAATGTAAGATCTAAAACTATTAAGCTCTTACAAGAAAACATAGGGGAAAAGTTTTGCCACATTGAATTTAGCGATAAATTCTGGAATATGACACCAAAAAAGTACAGGCAACAAAAGTAAAAATAAATTGGATTTATCAAAATTTAAAACTTGTGCATCAAAGAACATAATGTAAAGGCAATGTATAGAATGGGAAAATATAGGGCACCTCGGTGGCTCAGTCAGGGAAGCAACCAACTTTTGATTTCGGCTCAGGTCATGATCCTCAGGGTTGTGGAATCAATCCCCACATTGAGCTTCATGTTCAGTGGGCAGTCTGCTTGTCCCTCTCCTTCTACTCCTCCCCTCACTCATGTTCTGTCTCTCAAATACATAAATAAAAGAATGGGAGAAAATATTTGTAAGTCTTATTATCTGACAAGGGTATAATATCTAAAATACACAAAAAGCTCCTTCAGTTCAACAACAACAATAAAACCACTCAATTAAAAAATGAGGAAAGGGATCCCTGGGTGGCGCAGCGGTTTAGCGCCTGCCTTTGGCCCAGGGCACGATCCTGGGGTCCCGGGATCGAATCCCACGTTGGGCTCCTGGTGCATGGAGCCTGCTTCTCCCTCTGCCTGTGTTTCTGCCTCTCTCTCTCTCTCTCTCTCTCTCTCTCTCTCTGTGTGTGTGTGACTATCATAAATAAAAAATAATAATAAAATAATAAATAAAAAAGGTTTTATAAAAAAAAAATGAGGAAAGAGGGGCTCCTGGCTGGTCCAGCTAGTGGAGTGTGCGACTCTTGAGGTTGTGAGCTCGAGGCCCACATTATGTGTAAAGATTACTTAGAATGAAATCTTAAAAAAAAAAAAAAAAAGTAAAGGATGCTGGAATAGATAATTCTCCAAAGAAGATACACAAATGGCAAAAAAAAAAAAAAAGATGCTCATCATTCACATTAGGGAGATACAAATCAAAAACAAAGAGAGATACCACTCACAACCATTATAATGAATGTAACCGAAAAGATTACAAGTGTTGACAAGGATGCAGAGATTGGAACCCTTGTGCACCATTGGTGGGAGAATAAAAGAGTGCAGCTGCTATGGAAAAACAGCATGGTAGCTCCGCGAAAAATTAAAATAGAATTACTATGTGATCAAGCAATTTCACTTCTGGGTATAATACTTAAAAGAAGTAAAAGCAGCTACTTGTTTTTGTGTGGGGTTTTTTTTGTTGTATGTTGATTTTTTTAAGATTTTACTTATTCATGAGAGACACAGAGAGGCAGAAACATAGGCAGAAGGAGAAGCAGGCTCCCTGTGGGGAGCCTGATGTGGGACTCCTTTCCAGAACTCTGGGATCACGCCCTGAGCCAAAGGCAGATAGATGCTCAACCACCGAGCCACCCAGGCATCCTGAAAGCAGCTACTTGCACACCCATATTCATTGCCTTATAACCAAAAGGTGCAAGCAATCCTAGTGTCTACCAACAGATGAATGGATAAACAAAATGTGGCCTTATATACATACAATGAGATAGCCCTAAGGAGGAAAGAAATTCCGACATGCTATAATGTATATATATGATAAGCCAGGCACTAAAAGATAAATATTGTGTGATTCCACTTATATCAGATACCTAGAGTAGTCAAATTCATAGAGATAAAAGGAGTTGCCTCTCATGAATAAATAAATAAAATCTTAAAAAGAGTTGCAAAAGGGGAGTTGTTTATTAGGTATAGAATTTACCTGTTGCAAGATCTAGAGCTTATGTGCATAATAATGGATGTACTTGACAATACTAAACTGTACACTTAAAAAAATGATTGTCAGGGGTGCCTGCATGACTTAGTTAAGCATCTGCCCTCAGCTCAGGTCATTATCCTTGGGAGTCCTGGAATCAAGCCCCATGACAGGCTCCTCTCCCCACTTACATTCTTTCTCAGTCAATAAATAAAATCTTTAGGGCAGCCCTGGTGGCTCAGCGGTTTAGCACCACCTTCGGTCCAGGATGTGATCCTGGAGACCTGGGATCAAGTCCCACGTCAGGCTCCCTGCATGGAGCCTGCTTCTCCCTCTGCCTGTGTCTCTGCCTCTCTCTCTGTGTGTGTGTCTCTCATGAATAAATAAGTAAAATCTTTACTAAATAAATAAAAATCTTTAAAGATAAAAAAAAGATAAATAAAAATATCAAATTTTATGTGTATTTTACCACAATTTTTTTTAAACTTCTAGGTATCACTAAGGAACTATATGGGACCTACTAGCTGGGTTTCATGGGCAGTCAATTCTGCTAGAAATGTAAGAACATTCTTTATCCCAAGGAGGACAAGGAGAACCCCATCTATTCTGTGTGTGCAAGAATTGTGATTACCAGCAGGAAGCTGACAACAGCTGCATCTATGTTGGCCTAATCACACAACAAGTAGAGTAACTAACCCAGATAATCACTGGCAAGTCCCAGGACCCCTTGTGGGTAACAACTAAGCACCACATGTGCCAAAAGTGAGGCCACAAGGAGGCAGTGTTCTTTGAGTTGCTCAGTGCCAGGGGCTGAGAGGCCTCCAGGCCCTATGCTTCATTCACCACTAGATTGAAGTCCCCTCCACTACATGTAATAAATGCTGGGTTTTGTGTGTGAAAAATAAAAACCATAGCCTTTAGGTATTGCTCCCTATCTTTACATCATGTCCCAGCCACCCCACCCTAAAGCAACTAGTAACTACTTTTTATCATCAGAAATTTGCTTATTCTAGACATTTCATGTAAATGGAACCATATAATATGTAGTATTTTATGGCTAGTTTCATTTAGCATAAGGTTTCAAGGTTCAGGCAAGTTATAGTGTGGGGACACCTGGTCAGC